GCCGCATCAGGGTTGTGTTTGACCTGGGGGAGGCATGGACGGTGTGTGTGTGGCCAGCTCGATGTCACTCATTTTGGGGGCACCTGTGGTGGCCAAGCGCTAAGGCAGGACTTCCCTCAGACCCTCCCTCCCTCTCATTATAATCTCCTTCCTTCCCTCTTCCTTCTCCTTTCTTCTTTCTTCTTCCTTCCCCTCTTTCCTTCTTTTTCCTCCCTTGCTCTCTTCCCATCTTTCTTTCTTTTTCTTTGTCCTTCCTCTTTCCCCGTCTCCTTTCCTGTCCCTTCTTGGATGCTCAAATGCAAAAGGGGAAACATTTCTCCTTTTGTTTTGTTTTTAGTTTGTTTTGCTAGTCCTCTGCCAGCGAAAACAAAGCCCAGGGAGCTGCATGCAGCCGCCCCCCACAGGCCCCATTTTTGTCCATGACAACCTCCTGCAGCCCTCTGCCAGCAAAAAGGGGGCCCGGGTGAGTCACATGCACTCCACTCCAGGGCTCAGTTTTTGCTGGCAGAGGCACCGTGGGCCAGTCTTTCCCTGTTTCCAGGGCGGCCCTATAGGCCAGATTTAAGCACCCCACGGGCCACATCTGGCCAGCGGTCCTTGAGTTTGACACCCCTGTACTAGATGATACGTTTCATGGGACGGACCCAGAGCATGTTCACTCTGTCAAATCTGGTGGGATGGACAGTTCCAAATGAGGATAGATCATCCTGCAAATAAACTGGCCTTGGACATGTAAGCCTTGTAGGTGACCATCAAAACCTTAAACTGAATCTTGAAGCCTACCAGGGCTAAAGTCGCTCAGAAAGCATACTTGTTAGTGAAGTATGTTGTTAGGGGCCTGGTGGCGCAGCAGACTAATAGCCTGTTATTAACATTCAGCTGCCTGCAATTACTGCAAGTTCGAATCTTGCCAGGCTCAAGGTTGACTCAGCCCTCCATCCTTTCTAAGGTAGGTAAATTGAGGACCCAGTTTGTGGGGGCGATAAGCTGACTTTGTATAAATATACAAAAGTATGAAGGCTATTGCTTAACGCATTGTAAGCCGCCCTGAGTCTCCGGAGAACGGCGGCATATAAATCAAATTTAAAAAAAAAAAAGTTTGAGCACTGAATTAAAATATAACATTTGTTCATTTATCTATAATTACTGATGGAGTTCGCGCACTGTACAGCATCATGGTATGTTTCACTAGGGTTTATTAGATCAATCCCAATCAATTTAGCACAACATGCTAAGCCAAAACCAAACAAAACCATAATATTGCTTAGTCTATCTATCGCGTGGCTCCGAATACTGTAGCGGTTTCCTTTTTAAGAGGTATAAAGTATAGTCTTTATAATCCCTGACTTCTAATTTCAGCTGGAGCACATGAATATTAATTGGTAAGGAAACAGCACTTACCACAAAGTTAGAGGCGCTCTTTCTTCCTCTTTCTGATTTTGAATCTAATGCCTGGCACTGAAAGCAGGTCACTGAGATACATTTAGCTCATTGTAAATCCAGACATCAATTCATAGAAGATATAGGAATATGCATGTGTTTTAGTAGATAAATCCACATTCCAGTTTTGCTGAATTATTAACTTGCTGATCTGAAGGGTACTAAGTAGTTTAAAATCATACCCTTGGATGTGTCTGGATTGGTGGACACTAAGCAGCCGCGTCTTCTCACTCCTCCTGCCTGCCCTCCCCCCCTCCACAACTTGCTCATCCCAATGCCTGGAACAAAGACCAGTTTTCAAAAGCCTAGCAGCCCTTAGAGTTGTATGCTGGTGCCAGTCCATCCTCTTTCAGGCAACCCCTCCCAGCTGGCCTTGGCATCAAAGAAACAACGAGGAGCAGCTGGATCTGTACACCTGCTGCTGAGATTTTGTTAGCAAGGCTTTTGTGGGCCTGCATCAGCCATTCAGTGTGCCGAACACACCTGACCAGCCAAAGGTATTCCCTTATGTGGGCTTGCAGTAATAATTTTTTTTAAAAAGCCTTCGAAATTTTATCATTTCTGGCTTTCAGAAAAGGCTGCTGGACTGCAGTTGCAAATTAACAAATCTTTGGAATAAACGGTGGCTGGGTTCCCCCAGCATGCTGGTTGAGATCTGGCTGGCTAGTTGGTGGTTCCATATATTTGCCTGAACGCTGCCTTGGATTTTTTTTAAATGATCTTTTTAATCGTTGAGTTCCTGCCTACTCTTTTAGATTGGCTGGGACTTTCACCATGGGGAGGGAGGTGCCAACATCCTGGAGGAAACTCGTGCTCCAAGAAGCCCCAAACTTTGGCAAGTTATCATATAGAATAAAAGCAGAAACTTGAAAAGACTAAAACCCACGCAAAGGCAGGTGAATTTTTGGTGTGCTCTGGAAAAGGGAATGCAGAATTACGGCGTTATTTTTCATTTGGATGTACAGGTAGTCCTCAACTTATGACCACAACTGAGCCCAACATTTCCATTACTAAGTGAGACATTTGTTAAGTGAATTTTATGACCTTTCTTACCACAGTTGTTAAATGAGTCACTGCAGTTGTTAAGTGAGTTTGGTTTCCCCATTGACTTTACTTCTCAGAAGGTCGCAAAAGGTGATCACATGACCCTGGGACATGGCAACTGTCATAAATATGAACCAGTTGCCAAGCATCCAAATTTTGATCACGTGAACATGAGGATGGTTAATGGTCACCAGTGCGAACAAATGGTCATAAGCAGTGGTGGGATTCAAATAATTTAACAACCAGTTCTCTGCCCTAATGACCAGCTGGGTAGGTGTGGCTCGGTGGTCATGTGACCGTGTGGGCGTAGCCAACTCAACGTCACTCACGTCGTAACGCCTTAGCTGTTACAATGTAATAAGGGTTAACCAGAGAGGCAGTTTCTGTAAGCAGGGCAATAAAGATTAGGCTAGAAACAACACCAGAATGTTTCCTTCCTGCCTTCCTTACAGGATTAGCCCTGCAAAGTGGAAAAAAACAAAATAAGATTTCTTCCAACAACCGGTTCTCCCGAATATGTGCGAACTGGCTGAATCCCACCACTGGTCATAAGTCACTTTTTTCAGTGCTAATGTAACTTTGAATGGTCATTAAATGAACTGTTGTAAATTGAGGATTACCTGTACTGCAGAGTTAGCTGTTTTGTGTGAATGACAGTTTCGGTAGGCAGAATGTTGCTAGAGAGAAATAGCTAAAAGGTCATGAAAGAAGATGCAAAAAAAAAAAAAAAGCCACGTCATTGTATCCACTACGTTGGAAAACACAATAAAAATATAATCCCAAAGCAATTATCAGAAAGTTCTGGTGATTCGATTTTAAAAAGACAAATAAGCCTTCACTGAGTACAGATGGCAGTTCTAACAAGGATGGCAAGCTCTCCCAGTACTTGTCACCATCGAAGATTTTCAAGGTTCAGTTAGGTCTCACATTCTGGATATGTCTACAGCAAACCATGGAAATATTGAAAGTACTCCAAAAGGCATGAAAATAATTTATAGCCCCAAGAATTTGTTTATGTGGCTTTTGTCTCAGTATCTCAGAGACAAGCACCACATTGTTCTGAAGCTTCAACAAAAGAAATTGACGGGAAATTTTGTGGATCTTATTCTCACAACGCAGCAGGGGTGATTCTACTTACCTTTACTACTGGTTCGCAACGGGGCCGCGTGCTTGCGCAGAAGTGTTCTGATGATGTCAGGGTCGGTGGGCGGAGCCTCTCATTGGTTTTACTACTAGTTCTATAGAACCCACCACTGCAATGCAGTTAGCTGGATACGTCAGGGGTTAAGTTAACAGATATTAAAATGGAACCCATTGACCCAATCAGATAACCCCCAAGATATTAAATTTAACTCAAAACAAACCCAGTCAAGCACAGAATGAATTAATAGTATCCCGACTCAACTGTGTTGTGAGGTCACCTCAACCTTGTCAATTGATTGTTTTGGACTTCCAGAATTCTTTCCAATCCTTTAATGCAGTAGTGGGATTCAGCCAGTTCGCACCTATTCGGGAGAACCGGTTGTTAACTTTCTAAGCAGTTCGGAGAACCAGTTGTTGGAAGAAATCTTATTTTGTTTTTTTCCCACTTTACAGGGCTAATCCTGTAAGGAAGGCAGGAAGGAAACATTCTGGTGTTGTTTCTAGCCTAATCTTTATTGCCCTGCTTACAGAAACTGCCTCTCTGGTTAACCCTTATTACATTGTAACAGCTAAGGCGTTACGACGTGAGTGACATTGAGTTGGCCATGCCCACACAGTCACATGACCACTGAGCCACGCCTACCCAGCTGGTCATTAGGGCAGAGAACCATTTGTTAAATTATTTAAATCCCACCAGTGCTTTAGTAACAGCTGTACGCTGAGTCATGTGATTGGGAAGGACTTAAGAAAGGAACGTTGGTTATCCAACTACCTCTCCATAAGACACTGAAGTATCCTCACAACAGATCCTCCATCTCGGTGCCAGCCAGTTGAAGCTGGATCAAGGACATCTAGCTGGAAATGGATTGTTTCCATTGAAAAACATAAAACAACCCGTTATGCAACTATTCTGACATAGTAGGTGCCTAAGACAGGTTACTTAAATATGGTTTAATTAATTAGGATGGATTTTTTTTTAAATGTTATATGTATTGTTAGAAAGCTTTAAGTTAATTATGTATGTATAAAATGAGTGTGTATGTATACGCAGATATACAGGTTTTTTTAAGGAATGCTGAACAATATTTTAAAGTTGGTAAAATATTATGGACTAGATTTGAAAATATGAGAATGAATGATATATTATTCCCCACAGCAAGGGAAGCTGATTAAAATGTTTCTTTTATCCAAATAAGAGATTATATTTAATTTTGTGTCTAGTTCGAAATTGCTTCCAAATTTTGTGTTTGCAATGAGAAGAAGAAAAAAAAACTTTGATTCTGTTTTTATAAATTAGACAGGCTTGTTGTTATAGAAATGGCTTGTACATATTGCTATGTAAATGCAGAAAGTTGTAGTTATAATGTTGTTACCTTCGACTGTGCCAAAGGAAGTCGGAAGTTGGTGCCTTTTGCCTTTTTTCCTCCCATTACACTATACCCACCCCTCTTTTTCTCTTCCTCTCTTCTTACTTTTCCATGTTTTTTTTTCTTTGTGTTTTATACTTTGATAAACTAATAAAAAAGTTTTAACTAAAAAAAGAGTAGGTGCCTAAGACAGGTTGATGACTTGCAAGGCTCCAACTTGTTTGCTGCAGGACCTCCCACTCCCATCCAGTTCTGAGCCTAGTGCCTCTGTGACCATTTCGGTTTGGGTTGCCAGGGAGAACAGAACCTGCCTAACAACAAGACTCTTTAGTTTTCTTTGGAACAAATAGGGATTCTAGGCAGTTTCTATTCAATGATGGGATTCAATTTTTTTTACTACCGGTTCTGTGGGTGTGGCTTGGTGGGCATGGTGTGGCTTGGTGGGCGTGGCTTGGTGGGCATGGTAGGGGAAGAATACTGTAAAATCTCCATTCCCACCCCACTCCAGGGGAAGGTTACTGCAAAATCCTTATTCCCTCCCAATCAGCTGGGACTTAGGTGGCAGAGAATAGATGGGGGCAGGGCCATTCAGCATTTTTACTACCGGTTCTTTGAACTACTCAAAATTTCCACTACCGTTTGTCCAGAACTGGTCAGAACCTGCTGAAACCCACCTCTGTTTCTATTCCCAATTACAATAGTAACTTACGCTGCCATTTCCTACCAAGTGGTTCCTGCCTCCATAGATTTTTCTCCCATTCAACAAGCAGAGATTTGTTATAGAGGGGGAAAAAGGTGGGTAGCAGAGGTGGTATTCAGCGGGTTCAGACCGGTTCAGGCAAACCGGTAACACTGATGATCATTGGGCCCCGCCCACCCCCCTCCCCACTCTATTCTGTTCTTTATTTCCTGCTTTGTAGCTCATCTCAACCGTGCGGCACAGCTGATTGCCCCCCCTCACTATTCTACTTACCGTTGCTGACTTGAAAGGTAGCAGCTGAGCTTCTAAATGCTCCATTTTCAGCAATGCCAACACGCGCCTTAAGCGTGTGCACGTGCTCGCCGAAACAGTTGTAAAACGGTTGTAAAACGAAACAGTTGTAAACCGGCAGCATCCCACCACTGGTGGATAGATTTTTCTCTTCTCCAAGTATAGATACTTCACACACACACTGCTCTCCACTATATCTGTTCTTGTCTCCATTGCACCCTCTGGCAGTAGTAACAACCATTCTCACCCTTGTGCGAGGGCAGCTGTTTTCAAAGAGGTGTGCTCTCACTGGAGATGTGGAGAAAAGCCTTCAGATATGGATGTTGTAGAAACAGGGCCATGCATACCACTGAAGACATTCATAGTAAAAAAAAAAGGGGGGGGGGAACACATCTCTATCTCTTTCAACAATGATATTTCCTGATGGATTTCTATCTAGGAAAAGTACCTATAGAAAAAAAAATCTTAGCGAAAACATTTCCTTCCTGTAGTGAATCAATTTAAAGTCTTCAAAGATGCTGCAGTTCAAATGGTTAAGTATGAATTGCACACTTGAAAGGATTCTTTCGGGAAGACCTTAAATGTTACTTCATAACTCACCATGATGATGATAATGAATTGTTTCACTCAGGCTTCACAAAATAAGAGGCACTGGTAATCTATATAGAACCTAGAAAATTAGGCTAGCAAATACAGCTGAATTCAAACTGTGTTCTGCATGCTTTCATACTATGGTTTAAGAACTTTTAATATGTCACTTCAATGGGAGGAACCTCCAATCCACAGAACAGGATCCCTGAATCCAGTGACCTGTTGGTTCCTACAGCATGTATCTCCATCAGAGGATAAAGCTTCTGGTCTGATCCTATGCATCTCACTTTCCCTTGTGTTGGAAGAAATGTCCATCTGGGTTCAGTTCCAAATGGGGAGAAAGGTACTGGAAACATGGAGGCTGTTTGGAAAGATGGTTTAATGGTGGACAGGATCACATGATTTGAGGTCCTGGCAAAATGGGTGAGAGAGAGAGAGAGATTTAAACCCTCTCTTGGGCCCTGCCTTGGACCTTCCTGTTCCTGGGTAAGAAATGTATTCTGATTGGTTGACAAACTCCCATGGGGCCATGCAGGGATAACTTTGTGGGTTGTCTTGAGTCCCAGGCTTGGTTGAATCTTGCTAAGTGATGCAATCTTCCCAGGTGCCATGTGGTGAGTTCTGTTGCTAGATGGGTAGAGGGCTAATCCTATTATGTCCTGAGGGTGAAGGTCGTTTGTGCTGTAGATAAGCTGGCTCAGCCTTTTGTATTGGAGAAAGGTTGGCACCAGTCTTTCTGGGACTATTAGCAAAGGTGGGGGCTGCTTGCCAAGAGCATGTTCCTCCTTTTCTCATCCAGGGAGGTATAATATTCTACCTTTTTAATATTTCCTAGAATATTTCATTCTTCTCTAGGAGAAGGGTGGATGCTAACTTCCTACACTTGCCTTTTCCAATCTTCCTGTCCTTTCCAGAGGCAAAAGCCTTGGCCAGGATATCCTTTCCAGGGGAAAGCCAAGGACAGAGGAAAATTGAGGGACAACAATAGCCAAAAAAAAGTTTGCAGAGGAAGTGGATTTAAAAAGGGATTTGGGGTGATGTGCAAAACAATTTTGGGTGGCAGACTTCTGTCCTCTGCCATGATGCATTATGTGTGCACCTGTTGGCACGTTGCACTACCTTATCAATCATTTTGAGAAGAAATTAGGTGTACTGTCAATATTATTGAAGAAAACTTTTAGAAAGCAGACCCAAAATTTGCTCGATTGCAGCTAGTCAGAAAGCTGGATATTGATGAATCAGTTGTCAACATCAACTTCTAAGGATGTTTCAGTGTATACGAAGCAAAAAAAAAATAAATCCAAGTGGTACCTGTACCTGAACCTATAAGGAGAGTTGATTCGAATGATTCATTGATACTTTTGCTAGAAACACTGCCTTACAAAAAAAATGTATATTTTATAGATATACTGTACATGTCTGATGAGGAAGTGAAAATATCGGTTTTGGCACCAACTATTCAAATTGCAAGGTTTAACTGTTGGGCGACCTGTGCTTTCTCATTATGTTAAATATGCTTTACTTAACATACATAATGCTGTAATGCTCTCTGTGGAATTCTTCCAGTTTGGTTAGAAAAATGCACCTGGAGGAAGCTTCTTAGAAAATTCAGCAGCTCATGCTGAAGCTGTAGCATATGGAGAATACACATTGAAATACACATGTTTACACCATTGCGGAACCAGCTCTACCCCTCTGTATTCTCACACTATCATCCATGTTCAGCAGCTGAGCTGATTTATTTCTAGCTTGGCTGTGATGTCATCTAAACTGGAAAAAAAAGTAATATTTCTGTTTGCAACAATGAAAGCCCAGAAGAGCTGGTAGGTGGCCAATGGTGCACTGAAATATTTATTTCCCTATTCCTGAGCCTGATGTGTTAGCAGACGGAATATATTTTCCTGATTCCTTGAAGCACGGGAGGTCTCTGATTTCAGAACAATTGTTAAGGTTTATTCAGCTAACCAATTTTGGGGGGATTTGCAGACCCTAAAGGAGGCTGAGTATTGCAGCTGGCTGAAAGGTTTCAATGGTAATGCACAAAATCCACCTGGGCCTTCTATAATTTTGTAAACAACAAACTTAAAGACACAAGATCCATCCCACCACTAAAAGAGCCAAACGGGAAATACTGCAATGATGAAACCGTTAAGGCCAACCTCTTCAATACATTCTTTGACTCAGTCTTTGTAAACAGCAACGGAGCATGTCCCACATTTCCCAATCGTACCACAACTAATCACAACAATCTACTACATGTCGATTTCACAGAAGATACTGTTGAAAAGGCATTACACAACCTAAAACTATCTCTATCTATTGGCCGTGATGGATTATGTGCCTACTTCTTAAAAAAGCTCTCAACCACCATAGCAGAAACTCTTAGCATAATCTATGAAATATCTTTCAGAACCAGCTCCTTGCCTAACTTATGGTCACTAGCCATGGTCATCCCTATCTTCAAAAAGGTGACCCCCAGCCTAGTTGAAAGTTACAGACCAATCTCATTATGTTGCGTCACATGCAAAGCCATGGAATCAATTATAAACCAATCCATTACCCTCTATTTAGAGACAAACAAGCTATTCTCCAACAAGCAGTTTGGCTTCAGAAAAAAATTGTACTGCAATCTGCAACTCTTACAGTGCAAAAACATATGGACATCACAACTTGACCAGGGTAAAGCAACAGACGCAATTTATATAGACTTCTGTAAAGCCTTTTTTTTTTTTTAATTAGATTTATATGCCGCCCTTCTCCGGAGACTCAGGGCGGCTTACAATGCGTTAAGCAATAGCCTTCATACTTTTGTATATTTTATACAAAGTCAGCTTATTGCCCCCACAAACTGGGTCCTTAATTTACCTACCTTAGAAAGGATGGAAGGCTGAGTCAACCTTGAGCCTGGGGAGATTCGAACTTGCAATAATTGCAGACAGCTGAATGTTAATAACAGGCTTTTAGTCTGTTGAGCTATCCAGGCTTTGATTCAGTAGTACACGACAAACTACTTCTAAAACTAAAATCTTATGGCATTTCTGGATCCCTGCATAAGTGGATAACTGCGTTCCTATCAAACAGGCAACAAGTAGTCAAAATAGGGAATGCCCTATCAAACCCTGCACCTGTTAACAGTGGTGTCCCCCCAAGGAAGGGTTTTAGGACCCCCCACTCTTTATACTTTGCGATCATATTGTAAGCAACAGCGTTCTCTTTGTTAATGATGTAAAACAATTCAACACCACCGACAATACTGCCACCCTACAAAAAGACCTTGACTATCTGTCAGAATGGTCAAACAATTGGCAACTCCAAATCTCAACCAACAAATGCTCTGTTTTAAACATTGGCAAAAAAAATCAAAACACAAAATACAAACTGGGCAGATACGACCTCGTAGATGACCCTCACTCTGTCAAGGACCTTGGAGTACTCATCTCAAATGATCTAAGTGCCAGAGCTCACTGTAACAGCATTGGCAAAAAGGCATTAAAAGTTGTTA